TACACACAAATAATAAATAATGCACTTTTTTTTGACACACTTTAATTTTTTTTTTTAAATTCAATAAAATTATTATAATATTTTACGATGTACAATTTTGTATTTGTCGTCAGATTTTAAGCTATGAATTTTCCTGATGTAGTAGATGTTCATTGTGTTATCTTATTTTACAAAGTCAATAAAATTCAATTAAATAATCGTTGCAATTGACATAAATGAGTTTTATAGATCAATATTATCTACAGCTTTCCAGACTTGGTCAATAAACTTTAAACATCACAACGTTGATAACATCTTTTGCTAATATCAATGATTAATTATTAATATTATTATTTAATTTTTAGAAGACCAATTACTTGATTGGGAAAGAATGCCGCATACTCCGTAACATAGAAAGAACATGGTTACATTCAACGCTTACGCTCGTGAAATTTTTCCCTTATTCCGAATATTTAAAATTTTCGGTTTACTTCCAATGAAGAACGTTAATTCCCCTACCAAGCTGATAAGATTTGAAATCGGGATTTTTGAAACGATTTACAGCCTTTTTATTATTTTGGTACAGATGTTTCTCCTTTGCTGGATACTTGGAAAAATCTACGCCGAACAAAGCGTGCGTATTAATACGTTTTTTTCATTTCTCTGCCTACTTAAACTTATGTATGTGCCTATATATCAGACTATAATAGACAATTCGTTGATAAAATTCGTCACCACTCAATTTTCGCACACAAGAAGAGTTCTTCCTTTTATGATCGCATTATTCAACTTAATTCAAAGCAAAAATATGGTATTTCTTTTAAATAGTTGGAACACTATTCAGGTAATTTTAAGTAAAAAGAAAAAAAAATGTTGAGTTAAAATTAAACCTCAACAGGTTTTATACAATGAAATTAATCCTGGAAGCCACCGAAATGTTAAAATGGGGTTCAAATTTCATACCAAGAAGTTAATTGCATTGCAATACGCAGTTTTTTCCGTTTTAAACACAATCATCAGGAATTTGAAATCGCCAACAAATATAGAGCGGTTTCTTGAGTACGGAACAAATTTGATCGGCGTGCAAAATCAAATGCTCTTAGTGTTGTGGTGGTACCTAACTTGCAAGGGGATGCGAATTTTTACAAATAACATATTATTTAGTTACAAGGTATTGACAATTTAATAAACTTTTATATAATAATTTGCATTTGATATTTCAGGGTTCGGCAAAGCAGCTTGCGAAAAACCCAGACGCAAAAGTACTCAAATTCAGAAAACTTTGGCTCTTAACTTCAAAAATGACAATCAATTTGGGAAACGTTTGTTCATTATCAATGAGCTGCTTGATGGTTTACACCTTCATCCGATTTCTATTCATTGCATACGTGATCGCTGTGACAATGAATAATTTTATTCGGCACTTCTACTCAATATTTTTGAGTTTATTAACTATTTTTCTAATTTCTACAAGTTCACATAATTTACAAACGACGGTAACCGTTACATTTGATTCTAAAGAATACAAACATAAAACACTCAAAATTACTTATAGATGAAACAGAATTTTGTGGACGCAATTTCCGTTACCAAAATTATGCCTGTTAGGGATGAGACAAAAATAATGGTAACTACAAAAATTACCAACAATAATATTCACGCAAATTTTTCTTCAAATAGATGACAGACTTTCTGCGCAGGGCATCTAAATTCCACGACCAAGAAATTTCTCTCTCAGGGTACATAACGACAGGCAAAACGTTCCAGCTAAATGTGATATCTTTTATTATAATGTTTATCAAAAGCTCAAGATATATTTTAAAGGTTATTTACACTACCATGACTCTTCTCATCTGCATGATTCAATTAAAGAACTAGCAAAAGGAATTTTCAAAGTTTAAAAATAACAGGTTTGATGACCTCATCACTCAATTATAGCTCTGCTAAAATTTTATGTGCGTCGTAAAAAATTTCATCTCTTTTTTAGGTGCCTCCTTAAATGACAACTAATGCGAAATAAAATGAATTTCGTGAGGCATATCAACAAGACAATCTGCGCAATAGACTAGCTTGATTGGATCGTCATTTTTGGAGTCTCAACCTTGACTTGGAGTTAAGCCCGAGGTCTCCAAACCCCCCTTGATGTGAAGCTTTTTGATAACTGCAGATCGCGTGAAGCGATGACCTTTTGAGAAAGGAAAAAACCCTTTGACACAACTGACACTAGCCAAAATAATTTTCGCTGTGGGGATCACAACAAAAGTTGCCCTTTTTACTATCAAGTTATCAACAAAAAAACCAAACGTTATTTATGATTCAATATGTGGTATATTTATCAGCCAGACTAAGATATTAATGGTTAGTCATAAATTCGATTTGTGTAATGAAGAAGCAACATAATTGTGAAAGAAAAAAAATATGAAAAAAAATTGCACAATGGACAATTTTTTTTTACAAATTAATATTTAATCAATAGATGAGTGTTCCTTACAAATTGAAATATTAATTTTGTTTTTATTAAAAGGGCAATTTTGATTAATAAGGTAGTTTTACTCTTACTTTTTTACTTTAATTGTGTTATGCCTAATGTGTTGTTTCTCTTGCTTTGTATTCATTTTTAGAGCAATTCAATAAAGTTGGGATTCAGTTTCTACTCTGGTCAGATTTTGCAGCGGGTCAATCTAGTTCAAAATTCAAAAGGATGGCACAGTTAAAAAGGTGTGTCCTGTCTTGCAGATTTATGTTTAATTATTTTTCTTTTACTAACTCAAATTTTGCACACGTTAATATTGAATTCGACTCATTTGTTCCCTTTTAACTCTGCTGGGCGAGTTCAATTTGATTGCATGGGAATCAATTACAATTAAAGTGACACTATGGCGTAATTGCTCGATCTGGTGCTCTTCGTACGATTTGCGTCCAGCCGTCGGAGTGCAACCAGAGTTAATCGGCAATTTGTATGCGCATAACGTATGCGGCGACGGGGGTCGGTTGAAAGGACAGACACATGAACTGCAATTGAGCACCACTGCTGCGCGTCAAGTGGTCCTTTCCTCTGGGCGGCGACAAATCTGACCCGTGCAGCTTATTAAGAGCGGATCGCTCGCAATAAAAAACTAGCGCGCGTCAGGGACTACTCAGAGATACACCAAGGGCGACTGAATTGCGGCTTGTAGAGAGCATAAGACTGACGCGCACACGCTTTTATTGTTCTTGATTAATTACTTATGAACATATTACGCCAAGAAATTGGCACGATACGCATACAACTGTCTTGAATTCTTTATGAATATCATTACTGACGTAAGAACGACATGTTACTTTTTATGCTCTCCTAAATAAATTATTCAAAAGAAATTATATTGAACGGTTTTTATTGATAAAAGAGTATAGTATTATTTTCTCACTGACTTACTAAAATAAAATAGGTTCGACTAAAAAAAACCATTACACTATAGTTTTTAGATTTTAAAAAAATTATTTGATGTGACAAATCTTGAAGGTGTTCATTTTAGGAGAAAAGAATTTTTCATGATCAAGGATCAACTTCGGGTTGGATTAAATTATATCCCGAATTTTTTTAATAGCATTATAAGTATCCCCAAAACTCTCCAAAAGTAATGAAATAGATGTTTATAGGCTGAAAACTTGGATAGTAAAATAATTAATAATACTGAGAATTAAATAGGGTGATGAATGAATTTTATAAATTTAATCACACCTACAATTTTAATATTTTTATTTCAGCCCCATTTTAAACACGTTGGAAATGATTAGAACTAGATAAGAACGAGTTGTTCATTTTTGTAAAAATTTTGTCGACAAATTTTCATTGAGCATGACGCTATTCATCTCTGATATTATTACGTCATTGTATCTTCTCTCTCATCGGTGGAAGCGTACGACGTGGAACAACTAATGGCTTGTGAAGCGTAAATATGAATGAGCTGAGCGACGTTATTTCATATTGACCAGCCAGCGCAAAGTGGTGCACGTAATGGTGGTACTAAACTTGCCGACGAACAAACTAATAAAAGAGGCATTGACATTGTTTACTTTGCAGAAACAGAGAGAGGCGCAAGACGCAGGCGACTTTATACAGAAGTTACGCAATCAGCCAATCAGCTATCCATGTACAACAATAATAAGAAATTAAATGATATAATAATTCATACCTATCATTATATTGGCTTATACCTGGAGGGAAAAATTGTGAATTTATTTTTCTTAACATTAGCATAGAGACATAAATCAAATATCATGCAAATGATTTTTTTTACACATTACAAAAAAAAATGATTTGTTGTGAACTGTCTTTAAAAAATTCACATTTTGGATAATTAAAAATTAAATAAAAATGCAAAAAATAAAAAGAGAAAATCTATAATAAGGACAATAGTCAATTTTAAATTAAAGTATTTTCAAGTTCAGAGTTTTGAGTTAAAATAATTTGCTGACCTGCCGAAAAATGTTTAAAGAAAATCAATTATTTTTATGTATATTCCGTGTCAAAAATAAAATCTTTTCAAGTTCAGGCCTGGAAGTTAAAACAAAGTATTGTAAAAGGCCATTTCACGATAATTTTTTATTGGAATTGATAAAACTAATTTTCATTGCCAAAAAAAAAACATTACTAAATATTTCTAATAAAAAGTTGTTTTCAATCTGAAATCGGCAATCTAAGCTCGATTTTATTGCTTTCTATTTCTCTCTCAGAAGACGATCTGAATAAAAAATGGGATAAAAATAAATAACCGCAATAAAAACAATAGAGCTCATTGCCAACAAGCTGTCAGGCTCACGAGTACCACAGACCGCCGAGCATTAATTATTCTGATCCGCAAGTGACCGCCAATTTTGCAACGCACACTTAAATAAGCGCAATGAAAAGCAACTTTGCCCTAATTTTCAGTCAAATTTTAGCACGGGGTGGCGAAAGGAAGGTGCTGAATCTTAATTCCAAGTGAAGTAACAGGGGATTCAAGAAGAATGCGGCGGCGGCGCCGCCTCGACAAAAGAGAGTGGATGGATATTCGCGCGCGCGTTTCTATGGCAGCGCGGCTAAACAAAAACAAGTTGAGTTAAATTCGCTGCGACAATGGCAAGCCAAGAGGAAGAATCATTTCAAAACTTCTTCACAGAAAGCCTCACACTGGGCTTGGTGAAACTATTGGGTAATTTGTCTTAATTAAAAAAGTATAAAGCTTATTATACTACTTTTTTAATCTTGGGAAATCTAACTCGTCTGTAAAGTGATAATATATTTTTAGCTCGCTTCATAACTGGGCCGGTATCATTAAGAGCTAATGGAAATTAATGCCTCTGTTTACAGAGGAGACTCCTGGCGTGCAGGGGGTCGAAATGACGCGCTACAACCCCTGCGACAGAATGGTGCTCACGTCTTGGGAGCAGAGATACAGCTGCTCATTGCCAAATGACCTCAAAAATTTCTATTTTGCCTCGGATGGATTCAAACTTATTTGGAATTATGAATATGCAGGTTTGTAATTGGTTAAACTTAACTATAAAACTCAGAGATAAAAGAAATTTAATCTCTTTCAATTTTCAAATAAAAAGAGATGAAGGAATGTTAATATTATTTAATTTTTGATTTTCATTTATATTATTTCTATGTAAGCCGTGTTTAGATTTACAATTAGATTAAATTATTGATGAATTAAACACACACTGAAAGAACCACTCATTCAATTCACATTAAGGTTTTATGTTTGTTGAGTTCATAATAAACCGATATATACATGTTGCATTTTTTTTTTTTAATCAAAATTTTTATTACTATTTTTTCTCAACTTGTACAGATATCTTGACCACAACAAGAATTTTTCTGCTTTAGTTTGGTATAAATAAAAGTATAAAATATATTATACTTATTATATTATTAAAAATAAATAATAATAATAATAAATAGTGCAATAAATTTATAAAATAATATAAAAATAAAGCGTCCTTTCTTATGAATATAAACTATATATGTTTTGTTAGTTCATTTATATATATAAAAATTTTACCAAATTCTTGTAAATAAACGATTTGTGTTACAAAACTTATATTCGATGATTTTGAGAGTTTAAAGAATTCAATTAGAAGGGACCACGTGAAATTGAGGCTAAATTTAAAAAAACTGGTTTGATTTTAAAATTAAAAAAAAGAGTTTATCATTCAAGGTGAAGTTCTTCCCATTGGCAACATGAAAATAAACAAAGTGTCCGAATTGCGTCGGGTTGGCGGCTTCAAGCCGCAAGAGGACGCGGACGTCCTGACGCCGTTGGACATCGAAATGTGCCAGCAACAGAAATTGAATTCGCGCCATCCCGTGCCAAACATCGGCTCGAAGTGCAAACTGTTCGAGTTGGACGGATGTCAAGGCCTGGGAAAAGTGTGCCTCGTGTACCAACAGCCGCCCCCGCGAAAGGACCTCATGCCGGGCGACCCGGCGCTCACCGAACAGCCCACGATCTGGCTTTTGGACAGGTCGGAAATTTATTATAGAGTCAACAACCTTCTAAAATCAAAATAACACAAACTGATGATGCTATTAGAATTATCCAGAAACGATTTCAACAGTTTGTCGATAAATTATTTAGGACAAAAATTATGAGAGATTATGGCTTTCAGTTTTCCCAACTCATCCATTAAAACGTGAAAATTATAATTATAATTTATTTTAGTTAATATGCCAAATATTAATCTTAGATCACGTTTAATTTATGAAAATGGTATCGATAAAAAAAAATATAATATAGAAAATTTATTAGACACCGTAGTGTACTAAACATCAAACATAATTATTCTGATAAGAAAATAACTTTAATCATTTTATATTACTTAAGAATTTATAACTTAATTAAAATAATTTTAAGATAAAATGATGAGCTTGTGATGTTATCAATTATATTATATAATTAATTCTCTGATATTTTATATGTTGTTTCATATATTCCCATTGTATATCCATTTTTTTATTTGTGTAGGTGCTTTGATTGGCACTTCATAGCAGATGATTTCACGACGTACTTCAGAATGATGTTGGTGCACAAAGGGTTGCCGCAGTGGCAGTTCAAATTCACACCGATCGGACTGACGCCGTGGGCAGAGGTAACAAAATAATCGTCCCCTTTTCCGATGTTGGATCATTCTCTCACTTAATTTTGTTTGCTTGCAGCAATTCTTTGCTCTCCTGGCACCCCACCTGCTGCAAAGTGGCACCCAGGACTTGCCAAATAATTGGGACGCCACGTGCAATTTGCTCGACCCAGCTATTTTCAAAATCAAGAGCAAACAACCGAAAACCGAGCTCAAACAACAGGGTGTGGCCAACTGACAGCAAAACTAATGTACTTGAACGGTGGGCCAAGAATTATATATAAATTTAATCTCACTTGAATCAGTCAAAACTTAAGAGAATTTGAATAAAATTTCAGGCTTTAATTTAAAAACTGGTTTCAATTTGTACGTGGTAAAAATTACTGTACATTTATTTAAAAGCCAATTTAATGGTTGTCATTTTTCAAAACGTTGTTAATTGTGTTCGAGTTAAAAGCATGTCAAAAAAAGCAAGAGCAGTTTTATGGCCCATATCAAAGTGCCTCAAGGGACATTAAAATGTCCAGAATATACACGCACGCCTTTTGCAAATAAAAAGAGATGAAGTTTCTTCGACGTAGCAACAAAAGAATCAAGCACGATTTTTCCAAGATTTGTCTAATGAATATAATATGCTTCACCAAAAGGTGAGTTTATATTATTGTTAAATTACACATAATATTTCTTTGCCCTCTCTTATAATTAAAAATTAGCACCTCTTTCCACATAGCGTCTGCCGATAAAAATTATTCAATGACTTGACGATATCATTTTTGTTTGATCTGTCATCGTTTCACACATTGTAAGATGTTGATAAAAGAAAGACATAATAAAAAAAAACCAGGTCAGATTTGATCAGATTTTTTTCCTGTTCAGTTTGATAATTAATTTGTCTCGATTTGTCGGGCCCCAAAATTATTGCTGTTTATAAATGAAGAAAAAAATAGGAAAAGATACAAATTTACCAAAATTTGCTCGACTTATTTCTGGATCAACAAGTTATGGCTCTTAATCGCGTGTGTCAACAGATGCTTAGGGAATGGCACGTTGAACAGCATGTTTGATAAGAAAGTGCACGGCACCCAAGGGTCGCAAGGTCAACGCCACTGTCCCAATCTTGTTCCGAAGTAGCACACAAACGAAAGAGATTCAATCTCTTTTCTATTCACAAATCGCTGCTCTTTTTGTCGCTAAGCCCTGCATAAAAAATAAGAAGAGAGTTGTGAAATTTGACCGCGCAGAGTGGGCTGTTTTCGTTGATGGTGAAATATGGTGAGGAGCAGAAGAGATCGAGGTCCTGCTGAACAAACATTTCATCCGTCAAAATGCGCATAAATCTCAATGCAAATGTTTTCGATCAATATTTGCGAATAGAAATGTTAAAGAGCGCATAATTTTTTATTTACTTTGGTTTTTTTTAGAAGCTGTATTTTTAAGTTACATAATTTTAACCTTTTTACATCCAGAATCCAGAAAAATTTTTTCAGGCTTTTTGTTTAATCTCATCAATTTTGATTTTCATCTTAAGATGAGTCTATGGAATAATGTGAATATATTTCTTTAAAATTTCATTTTTATAGTAGGAAATAATTAAATTGTACGTTCAGCATTTTATTGATCATCATATTTTTGTTATTTTATATTTTGCAAAACCTGTACATTATTGAATAGCGTACTTTGATCGCAAGCATGACTATTTGTTGCCAAGAAACAATGCTCTGCTCTGCCGCTCTCTGAATTTTCAACTAAATAGGCTAATGACGTGCGAGAGCTCATTCTTTGTCGACAATCAGCACTCGCTCGCATTATCCATACAATAACGCCTTTGATGCTCCCATTTGAATCAAAATTAATTGTTATATGTTGTTGTGCCCCCCCCCCTCCATTATGGTGCTTTATTAATGAAAATGTAATACTTAATAACAAAAGTTATTTGTCTTTTCCTACTTGAAGAATACGCAACAGCAAAAATGCAGTGATTAAATATTTTAAATGGCAAGTTTTTGTTATTGTATAAATTTTTCATGTTCATTAAAAATTGAATATTTAAAAAAATACTCTTTTGTTCATTCTGTATTTGAGTTTTATATTTAGTACAGATTTTAACTTAAAAATGCAAGTACAATTAATTGAAAAAAAGGAATTTTTATACATAATAATAAGTATTATGCAAGCATATGATTCAAATTTTAGTTCAAAATAAATATTTGTATTATAAAATAATCTTCACTAAATAAAAATTCTTATCAACACCAGCAAAGATCCGAATTCGATAATCAATATTAATAATAATGTGGAATTTTATTGTTGTGTGTTTGTTGCTTTACAATTCATATTATTATAAAAAAGTTAAAATAAAAGCAATGTAAAATTTGCATCCCCCAGTTTCAATTCTGAACTGTTAAAATTTAAATATATTCCTCACTATTTTTCGTCAAGAGGACAGCAGGTGCGATACATTACTGGACCTGTGATTATCATCATCATCAATAAACAAAACGCGACACTGATACATGTAATTTAAATAATCCACGACGCGTTCTTGTCAAATATTTGCTCACGCAGCGAAATCGCGAAATGAATGAGCACCGGGTGGCATTTTTTACGCATAAAGAGCAACGCTTGTTTTGCTATCCGGTCGCTCCAATCGTCATGTTAAAGCGACAGCCGCTGTTAAAAAATAAATTCTCAGAAAATCCTTCCAGAAATTTCGTCTTGTCCGCAGATTTACAGAAAAAAACCAGATCAACAAGAAATGTTATTAGTTGAGAGATTTTTATGATTTTAATGGCGCCAAATTTACAGAGAGCAATAAATTATTTGTATTGCACCGATCTGAAATGTTCCTTGTTTTGATAACTTTAAAATGGCATAATCTAGTTTTTCAAACACGCAATAAAATTGTTCAATAACCAGGCAGTTATTTTGCTTCCACGTAACCTTAATTTTGTATTAAATGCAAAATGCAAATCATTTCTTTGTTGAGTTGGCGCAAATTGATCAAGATTGATTTGCTGCCTTTTGCGCAATTTGCTTTAATAACATTACATTTATTTACTGTAACATAGAGGATATGAAAATAAAACGGAAGTGTTATCAAAACCGCTCAAAACACCAACTCCATTCAGTTTTTATCAAGCCCATGCGAACAAAAAACTGATAAAAATGTAAAAGTGGTGATCAATACCGAGACCGTTCTGGATTCTTTTCGGTTTTGAAATCTGATCAGATAAAATCATTTATTAAATTTATCCTTTAAAAAAATTTAGCTGCAATAATATAACTAGAATTTATTGCCATAAACGTTATGTACTTACTTTAGGGTATTTTGTTGTTGATGTGGTTGCCGGTTCGTAAGAGCGCTTGCCTGGTTGAAAAAGAAGTGTGGACCGCAGTAGAGCCGGTGTCTGTTTGAAATAAACGAGGCGGCAGCAAAGGCGAACTGCGCTGAGATTGTGGAACCCCACCGCTCGCCCGACCTATCGCAAGTGCCATTTGCCCTCTCCCTTGCGAACGAGCCTCCAAGATACAAATTTCAATCGCCACACAGAACCACAGCAGTAGCTGTAATGCGCGCCATCAACCATCCAGTCTAGTTTACTACAGCTTGCCTCAATGATGCAGAATGACTTTATATGCATGGAAGTGGAATCATGTCATTTTTTTTTATTAAGTGATCGGAAAAATTAAAATAGCTGCATCAGATAATTTTTGTTTTGATATAATTATATTGTGGTACAATAGACAGCAATGCAATGAATTAATGTTTTATAATAACAGTGTGCTTTTGATTAAAGTTTTTGACGTCATTCCAAAAATGATTTTGATGCTTTTATTAAAATTGACAATATTGAATAAAACCAATTTTTATTTTGACTGAACATATTAGTCCATTTTTAATTGTAATATATAACATTTTCTGTTTTCAAGTACACGGTTTAAATCCTCCAAGACTTCAATCATTCAGATTTTTATTTTTTGACAATTAAAATCAAGTATAATGGAAAACAAATATAAAAACTTTAACAAAATTTCCAAAATGAAGACACATTGTGTGGCAAGAAACTGACCAAATTTCTGTACGTGCGCTTTTTCATATCAGCAAAAATGAATCCATACATTCAATTTACTAAAATTACAAGTATAACACATATTCCCGTTCGAGGTAAAAGCAACATTTGCAAGCTGTAACACAAATTCTTGAGATGCCGCACACCGCATTGCACTAAAATTGATGTTTTTCAAACATCTAAATTATATCATCTCTAGATATATATTTCCTCAAAGATTTTCAACAGCAAACAGAGCGTACATGCATTTTTAAACCTCAATAAAAATTAGCTGAAATGCAAAGAGTTTAATAAAAAATGCAGCTTTATCAAACAAAAATAAATCATTGCAAGCGTCAATAGATAATGCACACATTATTTACCTCTGCTTTGATGGAAATAATTTTGGAGTTTTAAAAGGAAAGAGATATAGTTATAAAGTAAGACATTTTTTGATTATAGGAATATTAAGAGGTGCAGAGCTACTTTGTTCTCTGCGTTGTGAAATTTCACCCAACATTCAAGTCACTATCACAAATTTCAGGAATCAAATTTCTGAATCATCTCCTTAACAACTACAATTATTTTTCAATAGGCCTCTTGGAGCACTAGCACCAACTGCGATAATTCAACTGCTCAAAATCCAAGCCGAGTACAAGACGGAAGGGGTTAAGAGTTAAACAACTGCTGTTTTCATTTAACAGGGGTCAATCAAAGAATTACTAGATAATTTTGAGCAACTGCGCACTAGAGTAAAATATTTTTCAACGACTGACAGCTACTTTGGGTCTCATGCTGCTTTTTTTTCTCTTTTTTCACTTTTCTATTATGATACAAGAATGCATATATATTAAAATTCCAAAATTTATGATTTTGAGAGTGTGGTGAGATCATTTTGCTTAATATCAGAAGCCAATGCCCTTGGCTGTGGTTAACTCGAGGAATGGTGTTTTACTGAGTGCTAGCTCCATGTTGGGTCGTATTGCTTCCAATCAGCATTCGGTGCCAAGTAGACTCTCCTGTTGTCGCAGAAAAATGAAACAATGCCTCGGTATCCAGTGCGAGGTACCCCACTCTAAAAAACCAAAGAGAAAAAGTTAGATAAAAGACCAATGATTGTGCAGGAGAAAACTTTACCTTGAAATCGTCCATTAGTCCCAGCATTTTTGCCGTAATTTTATAAATATCCTTGGTGTTGTACTGAATCCGAACAGGTTTATTGTGTTTAATAGAACCGTCTTTCAAATCTGTCAAGGTAACCACAGAGCTATTGTAGACCTCTTGCACGAATTTTATGTCATAGTTGTCCTTAGAAGAATTCAATTTTTTTTATATGAAAGGAAAATAGAAATAAAAAATTACCTTTAAAAGGTATGTCAAGTTCATCTTCGTAAAAGGCACAAATTTTTCATTCAGCTTAATATACTTGAGATGTTTTTCAAAGAAGAGACCACTAAAATATAATCAAAGATTAGTTTCAAGAAATAATTAAATTTAGTTTCATATACTTGCTAACACCGTGTTTCCCAAAAGTTCTTGTTCTTGAGATTTCTGGACGGATGCATGCTCGGTCCTTCCTCTGCTCTGGCCTTCGGATCCAGTCATCCCAATATCTACAAATTTTATTAATACATATGCTTCGAAGTAATTGACTGAGGTCTTACGATGGAGGCCACTTTGTGGAATGTTCTATCCAGTGATCCTTTAACAGCATCCAGCCGAGACCAGGAAAGAAATCGGTCCTGTACAATAGGTCGGCAGCATAATTGTCGATGATGCTTGATTTGCCATTATCGTTCCAGGCCGACACACAAAACAGAGTTCGGTCCTGCTTGAGAATGGGGTAAAGCCCAAGGAAGTACTCAAAGAAGTCTGGAGCAATGTCTAAATCATCTGTCAAAGCAAACAAATGAGCTCAATTGCGACACACACGCAAATCAATTGAAATAACCTTCAACAATAATAACAGTGTCATAATTCAGTCCGAAAAAAGTGTGGTTCAAGGCCCAGCCATAGTGTCGGGCTATTTTAAAGTATCCCTTGAATTTCTTCTCCTTCAGAGGCACAACAATTTCACTTGTGTAACTTGTCTGCAAATAAAATAAAATTCAATCTCTTGAGTAAGATAAAGAAATTAAATAACATACACGAATGTGAGTAATATTTGCTCCGTAACTGCCAATGACTCGGGCTGTTTCTTCATGATCACAATCTTGGCTCACCACAATAGGGAATTGGTGTTCGCGTTGCTGCGGTCTGTATTTGATAAGTGCATCCAGGCAACGAGACACAGACGGTCGGTTGCACGCAAAAACTAGAACGGCTATCACAGGACCTTGAATCTTTTCTTTCTGTAATTTGAAAATTATTTGAAAAAATTATTTAATCTTACACAAGTAGTTAGAAATTCAATAACAATAATAAATTTTCGTAGCCTAAAACAAATTTTAAATTGGATTTTATTGAAATTTTAAGTCTTAATAGAAATTTATTAATTTTTAATTAGGGTTTTAACAAAAACTTCGATAATAATTTTTTAAATAATTATGTATTCAATGGAAAAAAGTGCTTACATGACTGGATGGATTTAGTCTGCTCTGCTCCTGAAGTTTTTCCTTTTCCAGCTGTATGGCGGTGTTTCTTTCTTTTTCAGCATTTTTTATTTCTATTTCTGTAAATATTTAATAATATTTTAAAAATCCACTAAAATAAAACTTCTTACGTTGATTTTGTATGATGACCTTCAGATTTTTTAAAAACGCCTCATTTGCTTTGAACTGATTCTTCAGTTCTCCCTCCAGGTTGTGGAGCTGCTTTTCAATATCCGAGGTCTGAAAAAATTTTAAATTCTAAGGATTGTTCCAGTAAATCCAGTAATTTTATCAACAAATTCCGTGTGTCAATCTTACATTCACACTAAGGTTAGAGAAAAGTCTCCATACCCCTCTGTCGTAAATGTAACGAAGACCTTTCTAAAATTTTCGCATTTTTAAAAAATTTCTGCAAGGTCACAGGAACTTACCTCGGATGCGTGGTAGTTTGTTGGCTTGTGTTGGAACAAAAAGTATGTGGCTATGGCCCATATGATCAGCGATATGAACACCAGGAAGTAGAATCTGTTTTTACGCATTGCAATCACATCATCTGCAAAACAATAACAGAATTGATCCATTAGACATTAGGGCTGTGTAATATCAAGTTTTAATATATTTCATATATTTAACATAAAGTACACGGACGTTTATTAAGTGTCATAAACACTGCAATTAGTTGTGCTACTTGAGCGTAGCCAGTGGGCGACCAACAGGAAATTGCAATATGATGACACCGTTTCACTGAAAAAAAAAAGATGGAACTGCTAAATCATCGTCCATTTTGAATTAAAATTTTGAAATTATTTTGAGTTAACATAAATTTATAATTTAAAATAAAGTATTAAAAAAATTATAAAAAAACGATTCAGGTTAATGAAATTTTTAAATAAAAAATATAATATCAATTATGTGAATATGAAGGTGAACGAAAAATAGAGTTTTACTTAATTTTTATAATATACTAAAAATTTAGCTTTATTTAATTCACACTAATACAAATTTTATCAACTAAGGTTTGATTTCATGAATTACGAACGTCGCCCGAGTGGAAAATTAATTTATTTCAATTAATTTTAATGAACACATCAAATTGAGCTGGCCAAAAAAATTACAACAAATTAAGTTGAAATTCATTTTTTGTTGTGGATACAAAAGGGCTTGTAAGCAAGGCAAAATATATAAGAAATCAGGCACTTTGGGCCAGCTTTGGGCTAAATAATTTAATCATTTATGATCCCATATACCATAAATAAATATGTAATATTTAAATGTTACATATTTATCGATGTTCAAAATTAAGTTTTCATGCTTCAGTTAAGTTTGTAGCAAATTTAAAACCTGCCTCTCTTAATTTTTCATAGCATTCAAAACAATCATTCAATAAAGTGTGTCAAATTGAAATACATATGTATTTTGCTAAATTTTTGGTCGCCGGTTCCCTTGAAACTTACTGCAAGCTTAGGGTCGTGGAGCAAACTTGTCGCGGCCGACATCAATTGAGCGAATTCTCAACTCTACTGATCTTTGGGCCGCATGATTTTCCGCGTAGGTTTCGTGGCAGAGTAATGTAGAATTTTAGCTGGGACGTGTCATGGGAAACACGTAGCGATCGAGGAAGCACCTCTTATCAGTCGTGCAACGGCGGCTTTCGGCGCAGGCCTCGCTTCCGCCGCCTCCTTAGCTCATTTTCCAACACGCCGACGGCCGATTCGGGCAGAACAAGTCAACTTTCTCGGACGAACGATTCGAAAATGTTCGGAATGAGTTCCAATGTTATGATTATTGACACATCGAGTCTGAAATTTCCACTCAATGGGTGTCCAGTCAGAGCCCATCCCACTTTTGAGTTACGAGCATGCGCACTGATTCACGACGAATTTTAATCTTGAATTTTGGTAAGGAAATTATCTGGCCCTCTAATTGTTAGAAGAAATTTTAGAATAAAACATTTTGAATTAAATTTAGGTTAAAACCATTTGGAATAATTCAAATTGAACCTGCTTTTTTTAGGAACGATCTTGCTCTAGTCGGGTGTATGGAGAGGAGTTCAGATTCGGAGAGGTGCTGCTGCGGAGGAGACGGAGACGAGAGCAAACATCTGTACCGAGAATGTTTTTTGATCAGTCGAGATCGCGAGGGGTGTGTACACGGTCCGTGTTCGCGGCAGGTGCTCGCCAACTAAACTGACTAGCCCGACTGATTCGGCCGCCGAAACCGACACTCGACCGTCACCATGGATCCGGAAGCATTTCTGGACCTGGCCAACCAGGTCACCAAATTGAAAATGTTTCCCTACTTCGACATCGCCCACTGTCTGCTCTGCGCCCTGCACGTCCGTGAAGATCTCGGAGCAGGTATTTAAAAATAATTGATTTATTCATTTGATTGACTTTTTATTTATACATAATTTCCAATGACAAAATTTAATTACGCATTCACAGTACAATTTTGTCTGTGCTGCTTTATATTTTAGTCGTAAATGTATACCTTTCGGTTTATGTAATGTAACCCCTTGATTGATGCAGTATTTTTGATTTTTTTTTATGCTGTTATAAATTTAACTTGTCCACATACCTTACGAAATTTTTATTTTGTTATTAATTTTAATTCTTTTAAAATTGTTGATAAATTTAAAATAACTTGTTTCAATGTTTGTATCAGTGCAATTAAATCTATAATTTTATTGATTTAAGCTTCATATCATTATAAAATATTATATTTTGCCCTTTTATCCCTCATGGGCACTCATGGGCTTCATTGAAATCCATACGCGGAATAGCTTAATTAATGGCTGTAAGTCGTCTTGACTTTTAACGATTCAATATTATAAAACAATATAAAATTATACATTATTTATTGTGCATAAAATCTAATAAATTCGTTCTGCTGGAAAACATTTTGCTCTCAATTACTGAAAAATTTCAACAATTTAAAATCAATGTTTTAAAACGTTTAGTACTTTCTACGAGGATTCATTTTTAAATTCCGAAAATTCATCCAGATTTAAATATATTATTTACAAAAAAAAAGAAAAATTTTGGAACCATTCTTGTTATTAGCGTTCGTTTGAAATTAATTAATTGGCTGTGTGTCCATTAAAATTCTCGGGGCCTCGTTAAATCGGTTGTCGGCGTGTCCGTCCGAGAGTTTGTTGACCGCGATTCGAATTTTCGTACAAGAGTGATCTTTGTGCTGATTGTTTCGGCTGCAGAAGAAAGGCCTGATGGCGAATTGTCTTCGCGCTGGGAGAGCTCGGCGGGCGCTCCGAGACACGCGAAGGGTATTTCTGGACACCAGGGGGGTCTGGTGGGGTCATTGCGATGCTCGCTCGGACGGGTTGCTCTCGGTGGTGCACTTGCTTAGAGCAGCTCGGCGGCCTCGTCCCGCACACGTGCACCGAAATGCACGCTTTATTTTTAATTGTCTGCCGAAATGGATCAAACACTCTCACCTTTGCGACTAGATCTACGTTAAATGAGCTTCAAAAAGAATTATTAGTTTTTGTCTTTATTTGCCCATTATATTTTTTTTTTTAAGAACGACGTTATTGTTAACGTGCATTGTTGAAAAAATTATTTTTTGGAATAACTTAGGCATGGTAAGCATTAGCAGAGCATTAGTTTGATAGAAACAGACACAATTATTTACCGAAACTAGTAGAGCAGGAATTTTCTGTACCATGCAGAAACAATAAAGTTGCTCATCACCACCGAGGAAGCCGGATTTTATTTCAACAATTATTTATATTTATGTTTCATTGCAAAATTAATAAGTCATTTATTTTACTGTGTAATACTGTCAAAATTAAGGCAAAAAATATGTTGAAGAAAATATGGCAAAATTTAAACCTAAAAAAAGTAATAAAATAAGCTTAATTAAGAATTTAGGAAATTTTATTGTTATTCAAGACAGAGTCAAAAGCAAAATGTAAGCTCTGTTGTTGAAAAGACTTGATTTGACTGGATTTGACTATGCCAATAATGAGCCATATAGATGATTTCTTTTTATAAAACTCTTTTACAGTTGGGGTTTTAGTGCTCCTTATATTTTAAAATTACCATATTTATTTTCCATTGTTGTTAGTCACAACGTTTATGATACTATTGCCCTTAGAGAAAGGAAACTTGATTTCATTTTTGTATGAGCCTTATTGGCTCTTGTTTTACATCATATCACTAAAATCACTAAAAATTTGAAATGGTCATCGCGATTGTTGTTGATTTTACTTACTATAAGAACGGGCTGACAAAAATTTTCAAATTAAAATTTGAACCAAATGTAACACTCGTAAACCCAATGAAATTTTCTATGCGGCCAACAGTATTTATGCAAAAACACCAATTAATGTAAATCTGGAGCAGTTTGAACTTTGTGGGAATTAAAAATGAAATTTATGTAGAGTGAAAAGAATTTGTATTTTGAATGGATTTGTTTTGAATTCGTCAGGGTAAAAAAAATGGAACAAATTTAAATAGGCTTTGCTTTTGCTGTTAGTTTTTACTATTGTAATTGCGCACTATTTAATTAAAATAATGTATGGCTCAAGATTTATAAAACTTTTGCAAACACAAGCACTAATAGCTCTTTGATATGTACTTGCAGTAGATTATTATATGACAATCTCAAACTTCAATCTGACGTGAGCTATAAAGTTGCTCTCTTTCCGTTTCAATATTTTAGTTTACGCCCACATAACGTTGATCAAAAGTTGACACAAAATATTAGATCAGAGATAAAAAATTAAAAAGCTCTGATAGGATTAGATGAACCTTCCAAGCAAACGATTAATAGTTCAATATTTTTTTATATTTTAGTTATGTTATAAGAAATTCAAGGCTATTTTAATTATGTAAATAATCCAATTTCATTATTGATGATGGAAAAAATCCTTTTTTTTCACTTTAAATGACCATTTTTCTTTTTATCAGTTATCTGAAATTTTTGCAGAACTTGTTGTTTTTAATTTTGATTTTTTTTAGCAAGGAGCGTCAAAGTGTGGCACAATCGTTTGCTGCATCTGGCGATAAAAAAGTTCCAAGGTATTGATAAGCGGTGCGAGGAACGATCTGCGCGCGCGGCGTGGCGGCGACGGGTTCTTTTTATCGAGGGAGACGAGCCCGCTAAAAATAACGTTGGAGCCCCAATCGCACAGGAGAGGGACCCAATTTTAGGATCCCAAATGCACCGCGGCAGACACACACGCCGTTTGAAAAGCCACGCGTGACTCAATCGAAAATAAAAAATATTTGACCGAATTTTTTTTACTGACCCCGAGCGAAATTTTCACGGTCGCCGTGCTCGACCAGGCCGATCCTTTTGTAGAGTTTTTTCTTCATGATGCATGGAGAGCGAGCTGCATTGTCTCCGAATGATGTGGCGGGACTGATTTTTTACGCCCCATTGGTTTTCCTCTGTGAGCAAAGGCCTCGCGGGTTATCACCGGTGGCGCAGAGTCAGTCTCCGACTCCGATAGATAAAAAAGAAAAATAAACCACATAATTATACGAGTTCATGCGCAGCGGGCGCGTCATTAGCAAGCGAAATTTATTCACGCTTTGTCATGCGAGCAGAAAGAATCGCAGACTTTGAATCAATTTGAATAATTGGACCCAGAAGTCGCTGCCAAAATAGCGCGCAAGTCACATTCAGGCTGGGTGATTTGGCACTCCATTGGCATGCGCAATTGGCCACCTTTTGTACCAAATGATATGAATACTTTTTTATCTGTATTAATTATCTTTCGGTATGGACGAACGTCTTTTAAAATCAGAATTAATTTGCCAAATTTTATGATCTTTGTTCCTGTCATCTTTTCAAAATATTAATTTACTTCATTACGAATTTACACTGACATTGAAGAAAAATTTTACAAAAAAAATTGCATTTACTTAAATATTATTCAGGAGTTACCAGTGTTTTCAGATTTCATTTTCTCATATCGTTTGGATAGCCGAATGAAGCTGTATTTTGTTTTGTGTGATAAATTTTTTTTTCTCAAGATCAACATTTTTTAGCTGATGAAACACGGTAAAAGGGGGGTAATTAAATATTTCTTTGAAAGGCTTTTAGCGATTTGGAGCCAACCCAAAAATTTAATGTTTATTAAGTCGATTGGGGTCGAAAGTCGGTTGTGTGAAAATTTAATTAGACATGCCATTAATAACAAAAACAAAATCGGGGAACTAAATTAAATTAATTTTTATATTTTTAAGGGTGTGTGTAATTTTTTTCTGCTAGAAAATTAATTTCAAGTCTGAAGTATTTCTGAGAATTTTTTTTTTTCAAAATCAGTTTAAATTTTATATAATTTAATTTATATGTCAATTTGTTTTGTGTGATATATTTTTCATTGCCAAACGAGCCAAATAATTATGCAAGCAACCCGAAGCAACCATGCATTTGTATTTTAGATTAGCTCAACTCATCATTAAATTTCTTATCCATTAATTTCTGATAACAAAAATAAAATATATATATACTCTGAACAATGCAAAATAAATAAGGAGTGGAAACAATTATTCAATTTTTCCGAAAAGTTTGTTAAACATTTTTTATTATTAACTAGATTTTTTTAAATTAAAATGCCTACAAAAATTTAAATTTAAATTGCCAAACTAAAATATCTTCATGTCAAGAAGGAATTAAAGAAAAGTCTTATTTTTTTTTATATATAAAATGGAAATGCACTGCTCTTCATTCAGTAAGTATTTGCAAAGGAATCGGGATTTAAATCGAAATTAATAATTACCTCCTGAGGAAAATCTAGAATGTATAATATTAAGAGGAAAAACGTCAAGTTTGACGACAACCTACCTTCATTTGAAATTTTTCTGGCAAGACTTAACTCCATTAAACTGCTTTTTACATCAAACTACTACCGTGCTGACTTCCATCAAGTTGCAAACTAAATTAAAAAATGTCCTCAGGTGCTCAGCAGTTCTCCAGGAAACACCCGCTGTCATGCTGGCTTTCCTACATGCTGGTAGTTTTTGCCGGCGGAATGCTCTGCAATGGACTGCTCGGAGAACCGATCTTGGCTCCACTCAAGAACACCCCTCAGATTGTGGTCGCCTCTGTTGTTTGGTAGTTAAATATTGAAATACTAAAATCAATTCTTGAGTGATATCTTAAATAACTTTATTTGAAAAAAGGATCTCTTTTAATTTTTGTGATGTTAATCCTTTGTCCAATAAAGCCCATTTCTAATCCTTGTTTACGGTTGCAGGTACTTTGTGTTCTACACACCGTTTGACATCGGCTACAAAATTGCCAAGTTCTTGCCGGTCAAGCTCATTTGTGCCGTCATGAAGGAGGTGTACAGGTAGTTTCTTTTTACGCCCCACGCATCCTTGGTTTTACTCCTCAAATTACTTTCTCCCCCAGGTGCAAGAAAGTGTACGACGGAGTGACCCATGCTGGCAAGTTGTATCCCAATGCCTACCTAATCATGATTCTTATTGGCACTCTGAAGGGTAATTATTAATTTATTTCCTTCTTATAATTTGTTATTTAGTGAAATTACTAAAAGAACTTTCTTTTTAATTTGAAACAACATTTGTTTATAATTTGTCAAGTTTTTCCTACAAATTTTACTGTAAATCAACGTTATTGATTAATAAATTTAATTATTATTATTTTTATATATACAATTTAGCACTGTGTTTCCAAAATGCCAAATATTTACCTGAAATTTTTAGGTAATGGTGCCGGCTTTGTAAAACTGATCGAACGCTTGATCCGTGGTGTCTGGACCCCCACAGCTATGGAATTCATGCAGCCATCCTTGTAAGAAAATTCAATAAAATTTGGAGAGGAAAATTCTTTCATAATTCAAATCGCAGCTACACCAAAGCCTGTCTGGTGGCCTCTGTCATTTTTGTGCTGGACAGCAAGACAGACCTGATCTCGGCTCCTCATGCTCTCGTTTACTTCGGAATTGTCATCTTCTTTGTATACTTCAAGGTTTGATTTTTTTTTCTTCCTGTAATCATTATTCTCTTTGAAATTAATTATATTTTGCAGGTCTCGTCGGTGTTGCTGGGAATACATGATCCATTTGTACCGTTTGAAAACTTATTCTGCGCTCTCTTCTTCGGAGGAATATGGGACTCCCTGCAAAAGGTGCTCGGACGTGGTGGTGCTCCCAAGGACGGGGATAAGGCTGATTCTAAGAAGAAAGACTAAATTCTTGCCTCTCACAATCAACTAATTTGATTTAAAGTAACTAAAAATCACAATTTTGAATTCTGGTCACAAGCAACCAATTCTTGCCAAAAAAACAAAAAATAATAATAATGTCACACATTTTACAATTTTCTGCATAACAAGGAAAGCTCTAGTCTGTTTTTGAACGACCACCTGAGGCCATGTTACTCTGGTCGCCAAGTCAAAATTAAATTATTTATTTGAAAAATTGACATTGTTCACCATCCTTAACTCATTTTTGAGTCATGAAGTATTCTATGTGTATAAAAAAGATCACAAAGAGAGCAAGGAGCGATTTGAAAGAGGTGGATTTTGGGATCTGTCCCACTGAACATGAATCATCTTTGCTCTTCTGCTGAAACTTTGTATTGGGTGTGGAAAGTGTGTGAATGAAAGTCCTTGCAAAGGCAACTTGCAAATGAAGCAATTCATCACAGCCTTGCTTCATTCGCAAAAATTTTATTGCTTTCGAGTGTGTGTTGTGTTTATATTTTGTAACACCAATACCACAGCTGGAACCAAAAGTTATCTGCTCTTTAATTTTACACTCCACCTCGCAACTTTACAAGCAAATTAAGAAAGTTAAATTTTAGCATTAAGATGATTTATAGTTCAATAATTAATTTTGTATTTAGTTTAGGTATTGGGAAGGGATCTAATGCATTATTAAAAATTAGGAGGGAATAACAAAACACGGCTGGATTTTCTTGAAATTACAAATATTTATTATATTATCACGATGCCAAAACTTACACTTAATGTATAATGCATGTTACATAAAAATATAATTACCTCGATTTATTTCCTATATGACGCAAGTCATTCTCAAGAAATATTTGACTTGTTTAATTGTTTTGCATTGCTTCCAGATCTGCATCTTTTACAAAAGTTTAAGCGTTTTGCTCAGAGCTTAAAAAATGGTATTATTTTCTATAAAAGCAAAACTTTTCAGTTCAATTAAACAAAAATATCATTGTGCGCACTAATTTCCCAACATTTTCCTTCAATAGGGCACATCATGTTTGTCAACCCTCTTCAAGTATAAATCGAGATTTTTTCATGTATTTGTGCAAATTTTAGTGATGTGTGTGTGATAATATTACATAATTTGGAATGTGTGCATGGTAAACAAATACCATCTAGCTATCTTGTTAATACATCTGCAATACTAGCTTTTTAAATATTATTTATTCCGTATTTTAAAATTTCAAAAGTTTATTGTAAAATTAATAGTCATCATTTCCCTTAAATATAATATTGTAAGCTTAAGTAATTGTTTTCAAAAATTATCTGGTATTTGACTAGCATTATTAATTTGAACTTTGTAAATTTATGCTGTCCATTTATTTTTCTATACGTTGGACGAGGTTTTAATGAAAATTGCATACTTCGATTCTACTTACAATCAAGATCCAATTTTCCTACAGGAAATGGGTTATTAATATAATATTAGGTGATATTCAATTAACTTCTACATCTCTCCTAAAGGGAAATTTTAAATACAGAGCGGTTAAAAATCGAGGAATATTCTATAAATTTTCTATAACAGTAACGGTACAATAATTGGGACATTAATTTACCTCTATTTAACAAAGATGATGGATGATATTAATCCACAATTATTTTGAGATCATTGGCTTCCATTAAAACATGAATGCGCATTTATTAAAATCACACAACAAAGGAATCATGCGGCTCATCTCATTCACTCCTTTTAACAATGGAAGGGTTTCAAATGGACAGAGTAACAATAGGAAGACAATGAGTGTTGCTGGGTGTCAAAAAATTTTGATGCGTTTTCCGTTTAGATTGAAGATTCAGATGCGTCCGGGAACTGGACTCTCTTCACCGACCGGACCCTGTGTGGCACGTCCGACTGCAAGCCATTGTTCTGCAATCAAAGGGGTAAACTCTGAAAAGCACGGACTGCTATTCAAACAAGAGTGCAGCAACGTTCCCATTTAATTAAAATGAATCATTAGTGCAGTCTCGTGTTTGTCCATTGCATGATTGCCTTTGTTGTTGTACAACAATAAACACCCAAGATGACGCAATTTATTGATGCCTCCTGAACGTGTGCAAATTATTACAGTACCGGTCTGTGAATGAATAGAAAACTCATAGGTTCGCAGCTAGCAATACTCTCATCTTAACTATTTAAAACCTCTTTTTTTTATCTCTTTTGATAAATCTGCGTGCATATATTTTTTGTACGTTTGTTTCATTACATCAGTTTAAAATTTATTTATAAATTTGCACGATTTATATTAATAAACCTGTAAATTCAAATTTTTTTCTATTGATTTATTCTGTAATACATTTTTAAGTCATGGCAATCTGTTTTTCAAGCAAATTCTTTTATTGGTTATTATTTTAGTTAGTAGATAAAGTGGAAAACAATGAAATTAATTTTTTACCTTGCAAAATGTCTATTTTTAAATTATAAATTGTAAAACTAAATACTTTGTTTTTTTGTCTCTGCATTTATGGATTTATATGTAGTAGAAAACATCGTTACCTCTAAATTAACTTACAATATTTTAATTTTGAAGATTAAAAATTTCACTCACTTGAATGGCAGGTGCGAGAGGGACGGTCGGACTAACATTTGGTGAGGGCCTGAGCTCCATGAGAGAAGGTGCCTGCAGGATGTCTGGCCTTATGATGGGCTTGGTCTTGATTGGCGGCACAAACGTCGTCGCGCTAGGTTGAGCCACATAGCGCACCGAGCCCGGCTAAACGGCAAATTGCACAGCCAAATTAATGCAAATCGCCTCGGCAAAATTGCCTGATTATCACGCAGACGTGCAGCTAAATTAAATTCCCGGCCGGCGCCTTCTAAACGAAAACTTCGACTCTACGGCAATTGTGTCATTTCTTGTTCCGCGCGCGCCAATTGCGCCAAAGCGAGATCAGGAACTTTTCTAAGCGCTAGGAAATTACTTTTGTCTGCTTAAAATTCCAGGGAGGATTAGCAGATCTTCCAACAAAAAAGCAATGAGGAAAACGAGATTGTTACATGAATATTTTTAAAAGTTGAAAAATTAAAATACTGTTCAATCTCTCTCCTGACGCTCTCTTAAAATTTTGTAGGTCTTTAATTATTACATAATTTTTTGAATAAAACAATTTAAAATGAAACACATGCCACGTTTAATTCTCCTACTCTCTTTTATTAAGTTTCTATTAAAAAATTCGTAAAAACGACTAGTTAAAAATTTCAGCAGTTACAAAAAAGCCTATTTTTCCAACTTGATATCGATTTTTGAATTATTTTCTGAACTCGGCAATGAAAGTAAAGAAAAACAAAACTTAATTTATGAGAGAAACTTTTAATGTGGTTTATTTTTAAAAATTTAATTACATTTTGATCATTGATTGAAGTTGAGCTGAGTTGAGCCAAGTAAAATTGAATTTATATTTTTTATGCCTGTAGTGCTTCTCTCATTGCATTTTAATTCATTACTTAACAAATATCTGGTTGAATGACGCAGAAAATATAAATAGTCACACCAGAGAGAAAATTTAATTGGCATTCTGAGCAAAGCGCACATCAGTTGTTCTCTGTGAATGCATCGCACGTTTTGCCCTTTATGACAATTTTCCCTGCACGTCTGACTATTCTCCAGCCACGAGCGTCAACTGGAATTTGATTCGTTTCATGTAACGTCGATGTAAAAAACGCGAACTCAAAGACTTGCAAATAAGAATCACTAACGTGTCCCTGTTTCATGCCACTCTTGAGAGAGTGGCATAAGAATTTATCTTTGTAGCAAAAAGAGTTTATGGGGCAACGAGAGAGACTATTCCATTTTAGTAAAAAAAAAAACTGAAGTGCTTCTCTGCGTGATTGTTAATGTTTGTTCTATAATATAAATATTTCCATATTGCACTCAATATCAATTGTCACTCGAAACAAACCCTTCAACTGGTAAAAATACACTTTGGCTTCCAGCATTGACGGTTATGCATCACGCATCACATCAACGACGTACAGGTTGCATTTAAATCAAAATTAATTTACATCAACGTAATTTCATATTTTTTTTTGTTAAATAGTCATTTCTATAATTTAAATTTTATTTTCAATAAAAAAAGGATAAATTATTACACATTACAAATAATTAATATTTGATAATGGAAGAAAAACAATCATCTCACTTGTTGTTGGTGGTATGCAGTTCCTCTGCCGGCCTTGTACTCCTGATATTGCGAGATCACACACAGCAGACAGTAAACCTGCAACACGAGGAATGCGGTCGGTCGCAATGAAGGATAATATACGATTTGTGTGAATACTGGATGCAAACGCACTTGGCATTTGCTGGTGCAAAAAAGAAACAAACTCACGTTCAGACTAAGAAGGAAGAAATCCAACGTCAGCACAATGCCAGTCAACGGGTTGAACTCCAACTGCGAACATTTGCAAAGAAATTATTTATTTTTTGTCCTTTCCTTTTTCATTTCATTTTTGGCACGGAGCCAAGCAATTTTCCACACTGTGAATGTCACAGAGAGGCTCCTTTTCGCGGACTTAGCGCCATTAATCATCACGGCGATGAGATTTTGTGAGAGACTCTTTTGATGAGGAATTCTTTAAGTATAGCCATAGCCAACATCTCCTTTGATCCGAGGAGCGGAAAATGGGAAAAACATTTAATTGCAAACTTTATTGTTGCAATGAACGCAGAAATTTGCATTTTTTTCCTTACAAAGATATACTCCCTTTTTTTAAATATATTTTTATTTCACTCAGAGCAAAAATTTGCAGTGAAGCGAGAGCGATCTGACGTTGCCATGTATTAAAAAAATGCACCGATGCGTACGCTTTTTCAATATGAGAAGGAGGAACTGTGGCTGAAGCGTTTGGAGGAAAAATTGCCGTCTTGGAAAAAGAATCCGAGCTGGCAGATTTATTGATCTGTATTTCTTGGAAATGAGGAAATAAACATTATAATTTTTTGTTGGATTTGAAGTGATTTTATGATTTTATGACATTTCACTGCATATATAATGGTTAATCAAAATTGTAATTATTCAAATTAATGAGATAAGCATTGATTTGATAATTACTTCATTCATTTCTTTAATTTAGCTTTAAAACAAATTTTAATAGAAAAGAAGCAGCAATCACTTATGATTTAATTAATATGATAATATTCAAATCAATTCAAATTTCTTTACTTCCTAATATGTAAGGTACAGATGAAAATGATATTTTTTTATTAAATTCAGTTAAAACAAATTTTTATTTTAACTTCAATAAAATTATTATCGCTCCGCTGGTGATTAAATGCACACAATCACAATGAATGGATTATAAATATGCAACAATGCAAAATTCCGCTGCCAACGCCAACACAAAGGGTTGGTTATACGTTTTATGCAGCCAGCGGACTTTTGCCGGCAGGGTCGGTCGTCGTAGTCGTATATGGGAAGTAGCGAGTCTGTCGCTTTTTTGCATTTTGTTTTCACTGAGTGAGAAGCCTGTGGCTCGGCCCGAGTCTTTTCCACGCGATGAAAGGCCGGACAGGTAAACAGACCGTTCCATTGTTAAACTCGCGCCGCTTCTTTTGTCTCTGAACGCCAAGCGGAAATTCAATATTGCAGAATGGCAAACATAATTTCTTGTCGCAGTGCCCTTTCCAGTTATTAAAAGGACGGAGTTTGTTTGACCCCCGGTCATTCTACACTTTGTTACGCAGAATACGATTGGAATTTTCTGTAAAGGACTTTTTACAAACAATATCGATTTTTTTTGTTATATGATAGAAATGAACAGTCCTCTCACATTATTAACGTGCGCTGAAAGTTTTTGCTCACCTCGAATAAAAGTCGGGAGGGCGTTTCATTGCAAGTGGTCCAAAGCTGCTTTTAAGCAAAAAAATATATTCCTTTTTTTCAGTGTGGAGATCAACTCTGAAGGGTGAAAGACAGAGGGAAGAGAAAAAGTGTTTCCTTCCTCCTCTGGTACCACTCTGCTGGCAGAGTGACGTGTGCTTTTTACTTTGAGATTGTGGGACAAAAAATGGTGAGAAACCATTACTTATTTTTATCTCATTTTTATTGTGATGAATGATCCAGAATCTTTTCTCTAAGAAAAATTTATTAAGGTTTTTTTTCTATGAGCCTTTATAGGAGATCATTTCTGTAATATAAGAGTTTATTTATTTATGATTTTTTAATGATTTTAATTTATTTAGTCTCCATTTAGATTAATGGGAAATAATAAATAAATAAATAGTGGGTTTAATTGAGAAATGATGCTGAAATTTTCTGGAATTATGAAAACGTGAAGAATATGTCACTTTTAAAAAAAATTGGATGATTATGAAAACTTATTTTTCACCTCAATATTATTTTTTTACTCCTTCTTGCCCAAGTGTTTCTACAAGTGGTTACCTACTTTTCCCATCACTTTATTTTTTTCGTTTTCCTCGTCTAATTAAAATTGCACCGAGATAATCTTTCCTTTTATTCTACTTTACTCCCCAGCTTACGGTCTTTTGTATTTAATGGAATAAATTATTATTTGCGAGAGCTAAAATTCCGCTAACAGAGGGAGAAGCAGAGCAACGAGGATGAAACTGTTTATCTCTGCGAATGGAGCTCATCACTCTTTGTTTTTCCTCCGCCCACTCGTCCCGCGTTTTCAGGCAAATAATACACGTCTGCTATGATCATTCGTTGGCAAGTACATAGTTTTACACCATCTGCAGACCTTGATATATGCGTTATATAGAAAATGCTCTCCCGCGGATAGGTCATAAATATTCATGCATCTATGCACGGATATATTTGTTTGCGTTCTGCCTGAGCAAAAAGACAAACAACGTTTTAATATACAGAGCGCCACAGTGCAGGCCTTGTGTTGTGAAAACAGGCCCGTTGATAATGTGATATTGTTCACAAAGCTCAGAGGGACAAAAGTTTTGTAGCAAAAACTCGCAATATTGTACATGTTTTGTTATTGTTAAACAATCGGATGAAACATTCGTCAGAATTATGCTTGTGTTTATTGTCTCTTTTTAGAACTCGGCCTTAAAATTAGGAATCTGTAAAAGCGGATATTTTTGGATGATAATTTACTTCACTCGATAATTTCTTACAAGTTTGCAAAATGAAATTAAGGACCCAGAAACAATAAAAAATGACGTCTGAAAATAAAATTATAATTTTGATGTAAAAATATCAATGTGAAATGTTTAAAGAAAAAAATCATCACTTCAATAATAATTAAAATCAATCGCTTTACAAATTTAATGAATTTTTTTTTTGATAGATTAATGATTGGAGTCAGGTGAAACATTTTCTGGCGGGGATCAATAAAATTGACCTCTGCAAGACCGCAATCAGCGCCGGTGTAAATATACTGCTTTTAAACACAGCAAATAAAAATTAAGTGCCGCTCTCTCTGCTTTTCTAGAAGGTCGGTGCTCCCTGGGGATATTGCTAGGAAAGGCTTTTTGTTCTGTTTGCGAAATCCTTCACGTTGGTTACCACGGGACGCAGTCTGCGTTGATGATGTTATATATATATATATATATATATATATATATATATATATATATATATATATATATATATATATATATATATATATATATATATATATATATATATATAACATCATCAACGCAGACTGCGTCCCGTGGTAACCAACGTGAAAGGATTATATATATATATATATATATATATATATATATATATATATATATATATATATATATATATATATATATATATATATATATATATATATATATATATATATATACAGGGTGGCCCAAAATTCAACGACACATTTTAATTTGCTGCCATTTTTGAACGGATGGAGATATTTGAGTTTTCTCAGCGGGAGAATGAAGTTCAGCTGTGGAAGTTTTGTTGGTGCTATGGGCATCCCATTGTTGCAACGCATTGTTACTGAAAAATAGCTACAACCGCAAACGAAAAATTTCTCTTATGGGATATCCATGTTAATTTTTAAACTTTTTAATTTTTTTACTTTTTTAACGAAACAAAATGTCTTCTAGCCTAAAATTTTGCGAGGAACACGATTCTGGTGTCTAAATTTTATTCCGTTAAGTATAAAGTAGACTTTTTGACACAAATTTTATGAAAATGAAAGGTTAGGTCAAATTTGACCTCACCAATTGATTCAGCTTGCCGAGTTTACCCTTAGTACCAATTTTCGTTTCTTTACCTATTTTGGTTCTATAAAATCCAGGAAACCGTCAAAATTTACCTGAAGTAAATTTGGATAATTAAACTTCCAACGGCAATAAAAAATAGAAGTCCAGCATTAAACTTATCAAACTTTGGCCGGATTAACTACGTGCTTTGTGAGAACTTGTAATTTATAAGTTAGAAGTCTGTCACCCAGAAGGAAAAATTTATTTTTTAAAGTTTGTGGTGATTTATAGCAAATTTAAAAAAAATTTAATTGAAAATTAATCTACGTGAAGCGAAAAATTAAAAGTCCTGTTTTAAAAAAACTGCGATTTCGCTGGCAGTTAGAAGGGTTTAAGGGCTATGTTTTCTCCAAATGGCAAGTCTGTCACCCAAAGAAAACTTTGGCTTTTTATTTTTTTAGCATTTCAAACAAAATTTCCTAAATCGGATTTGCGTTATAATTTGGCAAAGTCGCCGAAAAAATTAGATTCTGTCGAGTGACAGGCGCAAAATTTAGTAATCCAACTCACTGAACTACATAAATTTAAAAAATCTCCGCGCAAGTAGTATGAAACCTGGACTTCTTAAATTTTTTTATTGAAATGTGGAAAATTACAAAATTTTATCAAATAATATCTGCGATTAAAAATAAAATGAAAAGTCCAGGTTGCATTCTACTTGCGCGGAGATTTTTTAAATTTATGTAGTTCAGTGAGTTGGATTACTAAATTTTGCGCCTGTCACTCGACAGAATCTAATTTTTTCGGCGACTTTGCCAAATTATAACCCAAATCCGATTTAGGAAATTTTGTTTGAAATGCAAAAATCATAATAAGCCAAAGTTTTCTTTGGGCGACAGACTTGCCATTTGGAGAAAACATAGCCCTTAAACCCTTCTAACTGCCAGCGAAATCGCAGTTTTTTTAAAACAGGACTTTTAATTTTTCGCTTCACGTAGATTAATTTTCAATTAAATTTTTTTTAAATTTGCTATAAATCACCACAAACTTTAAAAAATAAATTTTTCCTTCTGGGTGACAGACTTCTAACTTATAAATTACAAGTTCTCACAAAGCACGTAGTTAATCCGGCCAAAGTTTGATAAGTTTAATGCTGGACTTCTATTTTTTATTGCCGTTGGAAGTTTAATTATCCAAATTTACTTCAGGTAAATTTTGACGGTTTCCTGGATTTTATAGAACCAAAATAGGTAAAGAAACGAAAATTGGTACTAAGGGTAAACTCGGCAAGCTGAATCAATTGGTGAGGTCAAATTTGACCTAACCTTTCATTTTCATAAAATTTGTGTCAAAAAGTCTACTTTATACTTAACGGAATAAAATTTAGACACCAGAATCGTGTTCCTCGCAAAATTTTAGGCTAGAAGACATTTTGTTTCGTTAGAAAAGTAAAAAAATTAAAAAGTTTAAAAATTAACATGGATATCCCATAAGAGAAATTTTTCGTTTGCGGTTGTAGCTATTTTTCAGTAACAATGCGTTGCAACAATGGGATGCCCATAGCACCAACAAAACTTCCACAGCTGAACTTCATTCTCCCGCTGAGAAAACTCAAATATCTCCATCCGTTCAAAAATGGCAGCAAATTAAAATGTGTCGTTGAATTTTGGGCCACCCTGTATATATATATATGACATACAGCAAGATAGAGATAGCGACTAAAACGTTTTTCGTTCCATGAATGCATCAATAAAAATGATGTGCCGTTGCGTTATGTGCGTGCAGCGGCGGTGTAATTGGACTTGCGTTTCTTTCCAATTGAATTTGCGTATTAATTTCCGGCATTTGAGAATTTTTTAAAGCTAGAGGTAGTAAATATATTTTATTTCCTACAAGTTTGAATTAAGTAAATAAAGTTATTTAATTTTTTTTTCAAAAAGAGTTAAAAAAGTAAATAAGCAGGTTTTTTTTATAAATTTTTCTGAATTTTTGCTTTGATAGACAGAATTAATGCATTGATGTAAGAAATGTTTTTATTGTAATATTTTGTAATTTTTATTTTAGATTTTGCTGAGTCCATTATTTATTTTAATAATGACATATTAATTTAATCCTGACAGGTTTTTTGTATTTGGATAAATTTCCATGCTCTCATTTAATACAAAAATTGATCAGTGAAATTTAAGATATTGCTTCGAAGGTTGCCTGTCATCTTTTTAAATGAACCTGATTCTTACATTTTTAAAGGGAACACAAAATTTTAAAACATTAAAAATTAAATTCTTTGTGAGGCAGGTTACGATCAGTTGTATCTTCAAACATTTTCGTCCAAACTGGTGGCAGATTCTGACTTCAAACCCTTCAAACAAAGAAAAGACGCAAAAGAAATAAGATACTTCTCTGCTTACGTGCCCATTGACAGGATCTAAGCGGCCCATTATGACTCCTACGCAGAGTTCATTCTGAATGGAATTCCCGACACGCACTTGATTTTCGTCTGGAAACGAGAGGGCATCAAGAAAGTTTTCCTTGCCCTCAAACGTTAACAATAAAAACACCGAGTTACGTAATAGAAGAGATTCGTTTCGCACGTACGAAATCTCATCAGACATAAAAAGCAGAGGATATTGCAAAGGCCAAGTGGCAGCGAATTGATTTCCTCCGAAAACATTTCTCATTGCCGGCTTCAAAGCAGAACGTAAATTGACACGCGCACACAATTTGCATGGAAAGCCTGAGGCGTTTGTTTCTTGACAAGCAGCTTCTTCTTTGATACGGATATTACGGTGCTTTGAGTGCTTTCCTCCATTCTCCTGTCAATCAGGATGAACCACACAGGTTTTCATTCAAAGGGTAAAAAGTATCTGAAAAATATTCTCGTGAGAGTTAAGAAATATTAGAAATAACTTCAAAATAATCTGATATTTATAGGATGTAATAAAAACTTTTTTGAGGCACTCTGAAACTTTTAATATCTGTTTCTTGTTTCACTTCAGGTAGCTCATGTCATGATCAAAGCGTCCTTGCTTTCAACTCCAGCCGAGCAGGATTAGTCACTCTCTAACTCGAAAAAGTTGGAGAAAAGAAAAATACATATTTTGCCAAAGCGGGTGAACTAATTAATTAAGCCTTGCCCCATTCTGTAAAAGCAATTTAATCAAGCCGTCCGTCGATTCTGGAGAAAAAGTGCGAAAGTATGCAACCAGCGCCGCATGACGATGAAGAAAAATGCCTACATCGTTCAAGCGAGGCGACGCAACAGCAGCTGCTGTCTTCCAACATCGGATGTGGGATATTATTTTCCAAGATGGAATACCACTCTGGTGGAAAGAAGGACGCGTTTCGCTTTTCCAGTCCGGTAATGACGAAGGAAATATGTCTTTGACAAAGAACCGGACAGCACAGTCATTAGGGACATATATCAATTTTCTCTTCTTTTTTTTGGGACGCGCTTATTCATTTTTGACGCTCGTTATGCAATGCGAACAAAAACAACGTGTGATACATTAGTTCAAGACGATATACAATAGAAATTTGTAAAAAATTTTAATAATTGATAAAACAATGCAATAATATATTATATATGACAAATATATTTATATTTTGCCCACAATTAAAAGCTTGGCGATTTTTTGAAATAGTTCCAGACTTCATTCATGTACTGTATTGATCGTCTGGCCCATTTCAAGCCTGCGTATGACGCTCGAACGCTTAATTAACTTCACTAGCTGTTGATTAGTTCTGCGAACTTATATAAAAAGTCTTGACGTGTCCTTCTATAAACATCAAACAGTATCTTGTATAATTAATGTGGCTTTTCAAAAAGAGTGAAAATGTTCCGAAAGTTTTAAGAATTAGTCTGTGTTATAAAAATCGCATCGCCAAAATTATTGGATTTTTAAAGCTGATTTTGCTAAAATGAAAATATAAAAACTTACTTAAAATGCTTTGGAAGTTGGAAGGTATATTATTTCTATTAAAAAATGTTTTCCTAGAGGCTTAGGGAGAGAGCTATATGAATTTTCTGAGAGTACAATCATTTTTGGATTTAACCTTCACAAAATTAAGCGTCATAAAATTTTGATCACAGGTCCTCTTGTGTAACAAACAAAAAACACCGCTTAGCGTGGAAATGACAGGATAATGAAAATTTTTGCTTTAGGTCACTGTGGCTGCCAAAGCAATTTTGGTGGTGGAGCGGAAGAGTGGCAGGCAGAGTAGAGTGCTTTTTGCATTCACAAGAGCGTAAAAAATCGCTAATGGCTTCCGCCCGCCACTTTCAGCCTGTTTCATCAATTGGATATTGGATTCGGCGGTGCAAGAAAGCTTGTCTGATTGGCACTCTGATCTCGTCTGATTGAAAATTCTTCATATTAAAAAGAAAGATATCGTTATTTTATGACACAGCTCTTGGGAGAGGACGAAACGATGCAATTTTTTAAGTTAAGAACTGATACACATCGTGTCGGGGAGCAATGATTATGAAAGATAATAATAACAGACTGCTTACCTTCTCAAAGAGGAGCAAGTAGAACGTGTGACACAAATCCATCGCACTCGTTCCCATCACATTAAACACCCAAGGTACAAGAAAGCTTCTCCTGTCCTGAAAGCAACATTTAATATAAAGTAAAGGGATTCCTTATTTTTTCTGGAAAAGATTCAATTAAACTATAAATGTGTTCTTCTCAAAGCTATTCAAAGCAAAGAAAAATAGGAATAATAATAATAAATGCTGTCTGGTGTGTAAAAATTAAATTCCATTTTTTTAAGTTAGCAAAAGTTGAAAATTTTTTTTTAAGAAATTTGACTGGAATTCCAGAAAAATAATAATCAATGTTCAAAATATTGTTATTGAATTAAACACTCCAGCCTGCATCTGTTTAATTTTTTAACAAAATTATTTTGAAAGGAGACGGTTATAAAGAAATAAAATTTCAACTGAAATCTAACACGATTTTTATATTTTTTTTTTACAAATATGTAAAAAGCTTATTACATACATGATCGCAATTAACTTAAAAAAAGTATAATAAAATTTTTGAAGTATATTTAAAAATAAAAAATAATCAAAATACGTCTCTTAGATTTTAGAAACATTAGAGAGATTTTCTTTCACTTTTATCAATATGCCGAAATAATCACATTAAAAGTTTTTATAACCTTTTCGTGCATTGTTTAACAACTCCTAATTGATAATTTTGACACATTCAAACATTTTTGTGATAGAATCAAGGGATACGTAGATTTTTTCAATTGCTCTCATATCATGACCAAAATCGAATAATAAGTAAATTAATATGTTTCTTACAAAATATTTTTCAACAAACTATGGTGATCCGTAGGAAAAATATTATGAAGCCATGTCATAAACTAAATTGCTTTTATATTCTATTTCAATGTCGTGTGTTGCTTATATAAAGGATCAGGCACATATTCATCGATGTAAAATTGATACAAGAGTTAATCTGACATAAGAGTCTGCAAAACGCAATAAAATTTCCTATGTATTCTATTAAGTACCGAAAGATTACATAACAGCAGAAAAGCCTCTAAGCTCGGTTGATCCCTAAAAGCAGTTGGCATGACATCAACGACGAAATTTCTCAAAAATAATGGCGCGTGTAACGCGTGTTGTTGTGACTGACTATCAAAACATCCTTCTCCCATCACAACAAAATGCTCGTTGCTCCGAATAAACAAAATCGATCATCAAATACTCGCATTTGTTACTTTGTAAATTGATTGTTTCAGCCTCCTTTGTTTCTTGCAGCTCGTGAGCAAAACAAACTTGCTTGTTGCAGGCAAACTGGCCCTGCCACGCTTTTACGCCCACGCCTCGGGGGCTGCCACTCATTTGCATGGAATACATGATGGTTTTCGATCCCGAGCTGCGCTTGACAGAGAGTTTTGCCGAAAATGGGCAGCTGCTTTTTTGTTCTCATCCACAGTTCAATTAACACGCAATCAGTGTGCATTCAATTTGCTAAAGGAAACTTTCCTCAATCATCATTCTGGAAAAAAACATTCATAAGATTTTTATGATGCAACACTAAATTTCAAAAAAATTATAAAAAAATATAACACGTACGAAAACACACGTCATGAGAAATATTTCCAAAATTTCCAGTTTATCATTTTCTTAATTATAAACACTATGAAATAAGATTTTTATTTTTAAATTTGATGAAACATTCCCGATCAAAAAATATTGTGATAGAATTATATTAAAATTCTAACACTATGTTATTAGTTCTAGTTCTAACTTGAAAAAATATTGGGTCTTAAATATATTTTTTTTTTTTAATTTTTTTTTATTGAAGAGTAATTTTGATTGCTTCCCTTTCTATTAAGCAAAAGACATTATTTTAATTAGAACCTGATAAAAAAGACTTTCAAAAATTAATTTACTTTATGCATAAAAGTTCAACAATTTTAGCATTTAAATTAAGAGTGGTATTTCAGCTGCTGATAAAATTCTAATCGACGTAGACAAAATTGAAATAACGACTTCCTACTTCCTAACAACGTCAATTGGCAGCTTGGGTGCGACCACATTATTTCATGAGCAAACTATTATAGTCTCGCGGTTCGTCAGCAAGCCTTTCCAATTGTCGTCCGCCCGTTGCAGGACCAGTTCGTCAGCTGCTCTTTATTCAAGAGGCAGCATCCTTTTTGAAGTAAAAGACAGATCGCTGCTTATGATGTACACTATTCGAAAATGCTTGATTGCCGTGGCATGTCTGATTGCCTTTTTTTCTATCATAGATGCTGCACCGGTTGAAAGTGAGTTTTAATTTCATTATATTATATCACTTTTGTAGTTCTACTTGACAATATAAAAAAAAAATTAGGCCAGACCTTGAAGGGCCTCTCCAGGTACATTATTTAATTTCAAAGTACACTGAATTTTATAATTATAAAATCAATACCACGATTTAAAAATTTGCACTATACAAGTCGACACTAAAACTAGGGATCATGGAACTCAATCAAAGGCTCACTTATCTTTTGCACAAAGGGGAATGTTAGTTGTAATGTAGAAGCTTGAAAGAATGGTACCAAATTAAGTTACTAGCAATCACGACAATTTTCAAATGCTTAATAAATGGAGAGCGAAAAAGCGGAAAACTCTATGATCTCCTGCTTCACACTTGCCATGCAGTTTTGATTAAAATTTTTCTTATAGTGACGAAGTTTCACGTTTCTTTGAAATCAAATATTATTAATTAAAAAATTTAAAATATTAAAAAATATGAAAGCTTATTTATTTGTTGTTAAAATACAATTTGTATTTTCCAGACACGCAAAAAACCCACGAGCATGAAGATACTGAAGATGAAAAAGGACCAGTAACTGGTGATTTTGTATTTTAATAATTTTATAAAAAGATTTGCATTCTGCTACTTTTTGCTTAAAAATTTAATTTTGCCATAATACAGTAAAACAGTGGATGTTTATTACAGGTTTTAGTTCTATTAGTAACCAGCCTATCCGCCAAGAAAACAATTTGAAATGCTTGGAAAACGCTAAAAACAATATTAATGAAGCGCGAAAATGCCATGAGATCTACAGAAATTGTCCTGCTGGATACAATTATAACGTTAGGGCTAGAGCGTGCAAGCTAATTGTACGTTGAGGCTCGGCCAAAAGACATCATCCGACTAGGATTAAAGTGGATATTTACTAATGTAACCTTCTTAAAGCGAAAATAAATTAGCATCCATTTATAATGATACAGGCCAGCAATAATATATTTCATTCCATTTATAGTTAACAAAAAGCAAAACAATAAAACTATATGAAGAGAAATTATGCGTGTTTAATTTAAGAAAAATTAATGAAGTCCTTTTGAACATTTTTCTTTTTCACTTTTTGCAAATACAATAATTGACGAATTGACCCTTTCGTTGACTCTAGATTTTCCTCTTGTTAAATTGTAATTTTTTATAAAATCATCAAACAACCTTTTAAAAATATTTTTAACAACTACAATGTGAAGAGACGCCTGCAAAATAATTTTATTATAAAATTAATTCAATTGAATTTTCACTTTAAATGCAAGTTTTCACTGAAAATATGCTAGAATTCACGTGGAAATTAAAATTTTTTGTTCAAATGTTTAATAATGTCACCGCGGCAATGAATCTGACTTAATGACGATTTAAAATTCACAATGCTAAATTTATACAAATTTTTAATGGCGACGGAAGTAATTAAGTCTCAGTTGGATCAGTTTTGATTTACGCATCGCTGCTTTTGTTTATTCACTCCCGACGAATTATTCTCACATATCTTGATATCTTCATAGATGTGCGTTGTGTTGTAATCACTGACTCGTATTTTCTATTTAATCACAAATCCCAATAAACGCATTGTAACGTCTTTCATGAAACCTCTACTCTTTTTAATACAGATAGAGGAAATTATTAAATATTAAGAGAAAATGTAATTTTCATTAAAAAAGTGTCAGATTCAAATAGTTTTGCTGCCCATTGTGTAGAATTACTTGAATAAATAAATAAATAAATTCAAATAATATTTTGCGAACTAACAAGAGAGAGAGAGAGAGAGAGAGAGAGAGAGCGAGAGAGAGAGAGAGAGCGAGAGAGAGAGGAGAGAGAGAGAGAGAGAGAGAGAGAGAGAGAGAGAGAGAGGAGAGAGAGAGAGAGAGGAGAGAGAGAGGAGAGAGAGAGAGGAGAGAGAGAGAAGAGGAGAGAGAGGGAGAGGAGAGAGAGATGAGAGAGAGAGAGAGGAGAGAGAGAGAGAGAGATGAGAGAGAGAGAGGAGAGAGAGAGAGAGAGAGAGAGAGAGAGAGAGAGAGAGAGAGAGAGAGGAGAGAGAGAGAGAGAGAGAGAGAGAGAGGAGAGAGAGAGGAGGAGAGAGGAGAGGAGAGAGAAGAGATGGAGAGAGAGAGGAGAGAGAGAGAATAAATGGAAATCAAAATCTCATTTTGTTTGAAGAAAAAGAAAATGATACTTTATTAATTGCTTTTAATAATAATACTCACTGTGTAGAGTCCAGCAATGAGTAAAACGGACGAAAGGATACCAGTTAAGGCACAAGTGAGCACTGCAACCGCAATCCACACTGAAACTGCAATCACAATTAAAGAAAAGACGTCAATTTTACAGATTTAAGCAAAACATTCTATGAGACAGACTTGCTTTATTATTCACAAAACCCCCTCGCATTCTAAGTAATGAGAAGTATTAATTTGATTTCAATAAACAATCCCCATCTCTATAAAAGTACATTATTTTACTGGTCAAAAAGAATTTAATTGACACCTTCTACATTTGGGAAAAATTTCTTAAAAACGAAGAAATAATTTGTCGAAAATTGAGTCATAAGAAAGTTTTGTTGGAGAAAATATTCAAAACTATTGGAAGTCTGATAACGTGATAAATAATAAAAACCTTACTAAATTAATACATTTTAAATGTTATTAAACAAAATTTTTAATTTTAACAATCATTTTACTTTTGAAAATATTTAATATTTGTACATGAAAAAATAAATAAAAGTAAAATATCTTTTCACTGCATTACCTTGCGATATTCCTTCAGGTTCCAGAAAACTGCTGACGCCACCTTTCAAGTTATTGGTTGGGGCAACGGTGGCCAAAAGACGTGACCCTTCCACGGTGGGAGCACTCTTACTCTTCGATCGGCCCCAGTCTTCATCCTCCAGTATCATGTACAGGATCATTGAGATCAGCGAAAAGTAAGTCTGTGAACAAACAGCAAATTGTTAAAAAAAAATTTCAACTAAAAATAATAATTATAGGATTTTTAATAATTCCAGACGCGGCTGTAAATTAATTAGTATGCCTCTCTTAAAGACTTCAAGAGCGAAATAATAAAATAATAATAATTTTGTATCGCGGAAGCATTTTGCAGCACACATAATTTATAATTCTGAGCTTCAGTAATGAAGAATGATAAATACCTTTATATTTACATCGTGGAAATCAATGCTGTTCTCTGGAAACTAATTTGAACGGGAAACCCTTTGACAGCTCTCAGCTATCGTGTTTTAGCAAATCATTTGTGAAATTCAATAAACCAAAGAGAAGCCAATATAATTACTAACTATGTCAAAATTCAGCAACAAATGAGGCTCACGTGTCCATAATTTATCAACAGAACTTCCTGCTAAGTTTAATGTCACGAACTCCCAATTAAACTTTATAGACCGCATTGCATGTGGCACATCAAATTCCGTCTCAAAAGAACACGTGCCAGACGACATTATTTTTTTGTTTACAAAAGTGCGAAAGGAGTATATTTTGAATATTTGGCTTCGGCATAAAGTTTGCCAGCACACAGAGGCTGAATAACAGACAGACAGATGGAGAATCAATTTTCAGCATTATATCGGAGCAGGCGCGAGAACGAGAAAGTTAAATTGCCAATCCGATCGAGATGAAGAAGTTTGTGTGTCTGACCAAGTTTCTGGCTTCATTCAAAAGTTGCAAATTAACTTTGTATTCGTCAACAAATTGTAGATAAGAACAAAGATGTAATCCAGCGACTCATTGGTTTGTCTTTAATTAAATAAAATTTTTAGTATAATTGGTTTTGTTCCTTCATTTTTTGCCTTTTGTAAAATTTACTTGAAAATCATTAAATTTTAATAGTGATAATTTAAATATTCCTCATATCAATTAAATGAATAAAATAATAATTTAACTTCCTCTAAAGGAGAGAAAAGAGTTTGTCAAGATAAACCTTATTTGTAATAACGAAAATCGCTATCAGATTGACAACTTCTATTATATTATTTTTTTTCCATTTTGTACAAAACAAATTGAATAGAAAAACGATAGGCGCGGATGATAAATATCGTTGTTGAAAGAGTGCCAAGACTCTCTGAATGATATTTGCACGACTTTCAATACTTTGGCTTCTCTTCCGAATCTATAAACACGCCATGTCCCATGTCCCGGCAATTTTTCACCAAGAAAATTCAATAAAAGAGGGCAAATCTTGACGGCGGTGCGCTACAAAATTAGATTCATGGAGCAAAATATGCGCCCCGTCGCAAATAAGGGGCTAATCCTTTGATAATCTGCTCTCGGAAGCAGAAAGCTGTAAGGAAGATGACACACCATTAATTTTTGCCGCGTCGTCACTTTCCTTCCTTCCTTCAACTTGCTAAACTGTTTGTGTCGCACGAAATAAATTGCTGCGTGTGGGCGGCGGTAATTTGCCGTGGATCTCAGGTGGCCTTATTCTACTCTTTGCGGACGAATTTCCTACCCGCAGTGAAAGTGTTACACGATCGCACGACAAACGTCCTTTGTCCCTTGCCAAGATAAAAACCGACACGCTTTTCTTCTCCCTTGTCCGATATCGATCTACTTTCCTCCACAAAGAGTTGAAACCGCGTTAATAGTATGTCCTTCGCAGAGTTAAATCCAAATTTTTAGCAGAAAAAAATGATAACCATCATCATTTTTAATACCAATTTTTAATTGGTTGGCAAAAACATTAAAACATTTTGTTTAATTATCAAAAAAGAAACAGCATTTAAAAGCAGCTATTCTATTAATTAAGAAATTGAATTGGAATCTAATATTTATTGTCTTATACCTTTCATTTCCTGCCATTCCTAAATATTATTGTTACAGAAACTGCATCAGATGAAGTTCATTTTTGTTATGTTTGTGCGGGTGTTGCTAAACGTTTAAATAAAAGAAGAGAATAATTAAAGTAGCCACAAAATGAATTGATATTTGTCGGCATTTTCTTGAAAGCTATTTGGATATTTGTTTTTAACAAAATTAATAAACAATTCGCGACTCAAAATTCAGTTGTGGAGGGGAATTTATATACCTGACCTTAGATCATGAATTTACAAACCAAAGAAATTTTTAATTAAAAAAATCTCATATCAACCACATGATTTCTATACTTTTTTATAATATTATATAAGCAAAATTAAATATCGCCCTACGAAAAAAAATTTAATATCAAAATCAATTTTTTTGAATGGTAACACTCGAGGTGGATTTCATGAAAAATTGAAACCGGGCGAACCTCGTTGCAAAGAAAAAATGAAAAAATTAAAGGACAACTGACCCCAAAGGCGACCTGCGGTCTGCTGGTACTTTAAAACCTAGGATTTCTTGTGTCCGACTAAAACTAAGTGGGAGGAATTCAGCATCAGTCTCTCGGACTTCTCCGAAAGGAGAGGACCGGCACTCAGGTTAGCTGATGAGGCCTGGATTGGCCGAAACAGCTGTCTTACTAACCAGTAGTGCGGCAGATTACTGTGATTTTGCCAGAAGTCTTTGGGTTCATTGCCCTGGAAATTTCTGCCAAAATCACAGTATGAAGCTGTTGACTGACTCTTTTGCTTAATTAATTTCTGCAATTTTTGTTTATTAAAATTAAATTCTCCCATTTTATTAATTCCTCCCACTTAGTTTTAGTCGGACACAAGAAATCCTAGGTTTTAAAGTACCAGCAGACCGCAGGTCGCCTTTGGGGTCAGTTGTCCTTTAATTTTTTCATTTTTTCTTTGCAACGAGGTTCGCCCGGTTTCAATTTTTCATCAATTTTTTTCCTAAGTTTATTTTCCAAGTGAACAGTTTTCAATTTTTATTTTTACAAAATTTTAGTTTTCATCTCACATATCACGCACAGCATTTTTCATCATAAAAAAAATGTGCCGTCTTTTTGGTGTTTTCATTACTTTCGCTTGGTGTATCAACAGAAGGCAAATTTCTGGGTCAATTTCTGGTAAATTTCTCTCCGGGGCACTTGTTTTTCCTTGGAAGCAATTCCACGGGCCGAGCGACGCATATCAGTGCGCGTCTCGCAATTTCGACAAAACTTTTTTCGCCAGCGGCGGGCGACACGCCTCGTTTCAATAAGCAAAGGGCTGCGTAGCAAACAAACTCGCCTCCCACGCAACTCCCCTAGGCCAACCTGCAGCTTGACATTTCCATCAGCCACTGTGGCGCGCGACCTTTGCAACTTGCATTTTATTAGGCTGTTATATACGCCGCCTCTGCTTTCCCAGCCAAAAAATATATAATATATGTTGTTGACAAAAAGGCTTTTGGTCAAGCGTTCAAAAATTCTGTTCAAAAAGCCAATTTGATTAAGGGCTACAAACTTTTGGACCGACAATCGAGTGAAAGTTATGAAGAAAATCACCCAAATAAAAATCTCTTTCATATAATTTACGGAATATTTTGATAGTTGAATTTGAAGGAACACTAAATTTCATGACTGAAATCAAAAAGTTTGAGCCACTTAAAAATTTATTTGTAAATGATTCATGTCTTGTTTGTTCTGGAATTGCTATCAAAGTCTTCAGCATCTTTCGAAAAATGATGCTGAACTTCACAGGAGATACTATAGTTTCTATTGAAAAACTAAAAATAAAAACTACATAAGCCATACAATAACCATAGATTTGTCTGTAAATTGTATTTTTACAACCGAGTTGAAATTATATTCGATCTAGATTTTTTTATTATGACAACAGTGTTGAAATTTGGTGCTCTTATTAATTTAGAAATAAAAAGAGGGGAATTCAAAAATATTTACTAACAATAAGCCCAAATTTTTAATATAATAGAATAGCAAGATTTATTTTGGGGTGAACATGCTTTTTGATCGCTCAACCAAGAAGGCTTTTTGTCAACAACATTTATAAAAAAAGTCTCCAACGTCAAGAGTGACGTAAAAGTGTCTTTACGAGGCAATGATGTGTGCGAGAACGGTTTTCCTGCACACAATTATTTACTGCCCAAGAAAAGAGAATTTGTTTTGTTATGACCATGCAGACTGTTCAGAATTAAGCCATGGAAAATCCCCAGCTCACATAACCAGTCTGGGAGAAAATCTCTTGTGGCAATTACGAGCTTAATCAAGCCTCTTCCATCCTCAACAAAGGATATCACGTTTCCATAGCCTATTTTTGGATATTTCGCCCTAAATTAATGTGCAGAAAGGATTTATTTACTGGCTTGAAATTTAATCTTTAAGGAAATGGATGTTGTTTTTCTTAACGACAGCCCGTTCACAAAAGTGCCCTTGTTATAAAAAAATTTACAATCTGGCACTCAATTCACGCTACAGATTTTCAGGCAAAAGTCCAAATTTTGCGTAATAAACCTCTTGATTTAGGGTGCGCGTGGCTGTGACGTGTGGGCTCTTTTGTTTTGTTCATTTCGGCTTTCACTGCGTATCCTATGTAAAAAATACTCGGACAAAAGAACTCGGAGCGAGGGAAAAAACAATGCATAAGGCACCTCTTAGCTCTCAGGAGATAATAAAAGTTTTGTTTTCACAAAGAAAAGAACAATAGGTGCGTGACGGGGTCCAACCCTTTCGACCTCAACGTTAATTTTATAAAGTTAGTTAAAAAAAGAGGGGGAATTTCCATTCTGCCTAATTAAGACCAGAAGCACGTTAGCCTAAAATGAATTTATGAATTTTATAGTTCTAGTTATAGCTTATGTTGATCCCAACAGAATTAAATGAATGTATTGTATGAAATTATATAATTAATATTAATGTTTATCCAACTCAATTTTTGCAAAAGAAAAACATAAATGTGTCTTCTAAAATTTTGCGAGCATTTAATCAGGAAATTAATTGCTTTTCAAAATCTCATATCGTATTTTCCGCAAAATATACATTTATTAAACGACGTTTGACATAATTAATGATTAAATCTTCTAAAAATATTTTTGTAATTCCATTGAAGTT